TCTGTTAGGAGATCTGTTAGGGGATCTGAGAGACAATGGTCTGTTAGGGGATCGCGGAGACAATGGTCTGTTAGGGGATCTGTTAGGGGATCTGGGAGACAATGGTCTGTTAGGGGATCTGTTAGGGGATCTGGGAGACAATGGTCTGTTAGGGGATCTGTAAGGGGATCTGGGAGACAATGGTCTGTTAGGGGATCTGGGAGACAATGGTCTGTTAGGGGATCTGTTAGGGGATTTGGGAGACAATGGTCTGTTAGGGGATCTGTTAGGGGATTTGGGAGACAATGGTCTGTTAGGGGACCTGGGAGACAATGGTCTGTTAGGGGATCTGTTAGGGGATTTGGGAGACAATGGTCTGTTAGGGGACCTGGGAGACAATGGTCTGTTAGGGGATCTGTTAGGGGATCTGGGAGACAATGATCTGTTAGGGGATCTGGGAGACAATGATCTGTTAGGGGATCTGTTAGGGGATCAGGGAGACAATGATCTGTGAGGGGATGTGAGAGCATCCTTATATATCATAGATATAAATATTGAAGCATTTAAATATAAATGTAAATATAAACTAGATTTTTTCACAACAGTTGTGAAACAAGCTTTCAGCTTATATTATTAATTAATCTTGTTGGCCCTGATTAGCGCAAGGGAGTCTTACTGTGGGAAAAAAATGGAGCACTCAGGGAAAACACACGTGGTCGGACAGGTGACCCCATACCTTTTCACCTCCTACGGGGAATCGAACCCCGGACGGCTAAGTAAAAGACAACTGCAATAACACTGTGCCACCCGACCACCCATTAAACACACATATATATATACAAACTTATTGCAGAATTATTAATTGCAACAATTTCAATTTAACAGGGACAGGTACATAAGTCCCGGGGAAAAAATCGATATTGGACAAAACCAGTGTTTTACCGTATTAGTCCACATCAGGTAACAGAAGTGTTCGTAGTGTGAAAGCAAATCAACGCATTGTTGATAAAAATCCAAGAATATTGAAATTACCCAACATCAGTCATCTCGTTACCTGTCCAGCTCAGCTGCTTTGTCAAATCAGAAAACGGACGTCGTCGTTATGTTCGTCTTGTCAGACAATGACTATATAGGTCGATATTCATAAAAATGTGACAACACATGTATCTACATGTAAATTTCAAACTAATCAGGCCCAAGTTTCAGCAATTTCAACAAGAAGAATAATTTTTCATGCGACAAACTTTCGACGAATCAGGGACCAGATTATGGCCACCATCTTGAATTTTGTCAAAAGACATGCGTATTGCACATCTTCGTGGGAAAGGAACTCTTATGTTTCATTGCTGCCGTAATATAAAATTTTAAGAGAAAAAATGTCAGAAACTGCTGTCTGAAGAAGGAAAAGAAAGAGGACAATTAGAACCGGAATAAAACAGTAGTTCCGGCAATTCTTTCTTATAGATTTAATCATTGATATCTCTGTATCACGCCGTCTGTTTTCCTAAACATGTAGTGAAGGAAACCCTACAATTTCGCTTTTTCTGTACTCTATCCCAGGATTAACAGACATTAACAGGAGCTCTTTGTTATGAAAACATAGAAAGGACTTACGGAGAACCAGGTTAATGATGGTCTGTTCCGTAGGTACCGGGTATGTCTATTTATAGCATTTAATCAATACCGTTCGTGACGTATAATGAGATCGATTGAAATGAATACCTTGACGATTGTTTGAAATGTTAACATGTTGATTTTTGGTGAAAATATGGACCCTTTGTAGTAAGTGCTTTATACAACTGTCAGCTAAAAATCTATCACAGATAAATACCTGGTACACTATTTTCCATCAATTTTGTCTGGAACTGACAAAGCATTTATTATATATTGCATGAATTTTAAAGCCTATCTTTGTTTGTATGTGTTGGATTTTAGCACGATAAAAGACAAACTACAAAATATAAATCCTCGTCTCCGGAGTAGTGTACTTAAATTATTTTTGTTTTTCATTTTTTTCACGGCAGAACAAGATTGGTTACATGTTTATTCCTCAGTTATCGAGGTTCAGAGTGGCCTGTGCCTTCAGTGAAATAATTTTGTTCTCTGTTTATATTGTAAAAAAACTAGCGTGGAAAGCTGTTAATCACGCTATTAACTAATTATCTATATCTTAATAACGATATATAATGAAATAACCCTGATATTGGAAGGTGATCGAGGTAAGAGAACTTGAGACTTTCACCCTCTTGAGTCAGGGAAGCAAGGTCACAAACAAGAGGCTTGTCGGGGGAATGTCATACTTTTGATCTACCAATAATCTAATTATATTTTGACCTATTTTAAACTGTACGACTTTGATGTTAACCTGCTCTCCTCTCTGTATAGTTCATATTGGGTACATTTTGGATTGCTTAGTATGCATTTCAAGTTTCCAAGTTTTCAACAACTATTAAATACTGTTGACAAACTTCTTGTGTCAAATGAATTCGAAACTTAGTTTGAAATGAAACGTCACCTGCCGATTTTCGGCTCACACCACCAGCAGCGCCAGCTTATCACAACACCCCCACCCCCATCCCCAACCCCCTTACACACAGCTGAGAAAAAAAAACCAGTGATTAACTCCTTAAAAAATATGATCACTAGAGATGAGAGATATGATTTAGTCCAGAGAAGAGTACATATACACTCATAAAGTAACGATCGATATTTAACTGCTTTTAGACAAGAATCACATGAAATCTAAGTAGTATTTTACGCAGAGAGGACCTGTTGACACTTACCCAGGGGCAGACATGTGACGATCCTTTTAACAAATAGGCTGTCAGACTTGGGACAAGCATACACAACTCATATTGATTTTATGCAACAATTTTACCACAAATCCTGCCCTTTCTCTTGTGTTAAAGCCATTTCCATGCTTCGCTACAACTTTGTCAAACCGTTGTGTAATGCAGATTGGAAAATGTTATCTAGGCCTACAAATCGAGAATGCCTTTTTCTGAATAATTTTACTGTACAATGTCTTTTTTTTTGTTTTTTTGTTTTTTTTTTGTAGGAAGTCTGTCAATGGTTTTGATGTAAGAAACTTACCACGATCTTAGCTGTGCACCCACTACTCAATCAATGAAGATGGCGAAAGGTACTGACAGACGACATCTCTCGAACATTTCCCGCCGGTTCGGCTGGTACCACATTCCATTGATTTAGAGCTTCGTTCGATAGTGTCTTTGTATACTGGAGTCCTGATTGTTCGCTGTCTAGATGAGAACCTTATACGCACCATGCATCACATCGGTATTGGAACAGTCTAGAAAATGTCCTCTGATCAACGAGGTCAGAAATTCCATTTTCTTACCTTAGTGATATAAGAGGGCACGTGCAACGTTTACAAAGCACGTCTAGAATGTGTCTGTAATGCACGACTGTGAGCCTGCTATCCTTTAAAGCGCATGAGGCTGCAGTACTTTCCTCAACTTTTCTGAAGACATAAACATTACACTCCGATAGCGCGGCATTGCTTCGCTGTTAGGCTTCAAACCTCCTAGTGCGTCAACGTTGTCGGAAGTATTAGCTGTGAGTGTCGCTTATTGCCCGGTATACATTAAATCATCATCTCTGGATACACTTATGTCACTTTCCCTGGACTTCAGAGGGAAGGTAGGGTAAATGACAGGTGTTTGAGCGATATTCGTGTATAAATCTTAAATCAGACGTGTTTTAATGGAAGTTATAGCATCTAATCCCTTCAGTGATGGGCTCAGTGTTTGGTTTGGCTTCTTGTGATTGGTATCATATATAAAAGAATCTATCAAAATATTAAGATCAAAGACTATCTACGTATCAGTACTGTGAGTGTCATTTCAAGTGCAATTTTACCGAATTGTTATGTCATAGCCACACTGAAATGACATCAGTTCCGGTCAATTTTACCGTTAACGAATTGTTATGTAGAAGGCTTACTAAAACGACATAATTCCCGGTCCACTATCACGGTACCTAATTGTCATTTCGTAGGCACACTTGATCGACATCAGTTTCGGTCCATTATACCGGTACCAAAATAAATGTCGTCGGCACATTGAATCGACATCAGTTTCGGTCCAGTATACCGGTACCGGAATGTAATGTCGTAGGCACATTGAATCGACATCAGTTTCGGTCCAGTATACCGGTACCGGATGTAATGTCGTAGGCACATTGAATCGACATCAGTTTCGGTCCATTATACCGGTACCGGAATGTAATGTCTAAGGTACACTTGTATGATAAACCTTTCTCATACGAAAGAATGTGTAGAGGCCCGGCGACAACATGTTTAGTCTTTCTTATCACTAATGAATGTGTGTTACGTTTTGGAACAGAACATTTAGTCTTCCTTATCACTAATGAATGTGTGTTACGTTTTGGAACAGAACATTTAGTCTTCCTTATCACTAAGGAATGTGTGTTACGTTTTGGGACAGAACATATAGTCTTTCTTATCAATAAGGAATGTTTGTTATGTTCAGGGGACAGAACATATAGCCTTCCTCATCACTAAGGAATGTGTGTTACGTTTTGGAACAGAACATATAGCCTTCCTTATCACTAAGGAATGTGTGTTACGTTTTGGGACAGAACATATAGTCTTTCTTATCAATAAGGAATGTTTGTTATGTTCAGGGGACAGAACATATAGCCTTCCTCATCACTAAGGAATGTGTGTTACGTTTTGGGACAGAACATATAGCCTTCCCTATCACAAAGAAACGTGCTTGAAAAGAGACACTCTCAAGGGAAATACTATCAACAAAAAGGAAGCAAAGTATCCGTTGACTTTTTCCCTCAAGTTCCTCTGTCCAAAGTTCATTCTTCTTGTCTGTTGATATTCACTCGCAATTCTCTCCCTATTTTACTACCTTCTCTTTACCATCAAGAGTGTGCCTTTCTTAACTCACCATCTGTCCCCTTCTTTACAATCAAAATTTGAAAAAAAAGAATCTGCCCATCTTTGCTACCAGATTGCAGTCTCCTATTAACTACAATGCTTCTGTACACTTTTTTACAAACAAACTTCTGTCTCCTCTGAACCACCAAACTTCTATCTCCTCTGAACCACCAAACGTCATCTGTCTCCTCTGAACCACCAAACTTCTGTCTCCTGTGAACCACCAAACGTCATCTGTCTCCTCTGAATCACCAAACTTCTGTCTCCTGTGAACCATCAAGCTTCTGTCTCCTCTGAACGTGCAAACTTCTTTCTCCTGTGAACCACCTAACTTCTGTCTCCTCTGAACCACCAAACGTCTGTCTCCTCTGGACCACCAAGTTTCTGCCTCATCCTTACCACCAACCTTCTGCTTTCTCTTTACCACTAAGCTTCTACTATCGTTTTACACCAAACCTCTACATCTTTTTAACACTAATTGCTACCTCATTTTTATTACACAAACGCCTGTTCACTCTTACATTATATAATCATCTCAAATTCTGAGTCCTCTTAATACCAAACATGTGCTTTCTTTTTATGGCCATACATCTGCCTCTTCCTTACCACCAAATATCAATTCCTTCCCTCATCTTTACCAGCAAACAACTCTTCTCTTTACAATAATTTCCCCTTCTCGTTACCACCAATTTTCTGCTTTCTCTTTACTACCAAACGTCTGTCTGCTATCTACCACCGTTTTACCATGCTCTTGACCACCGATTTTCTGCCTCCTCTTAACCACTAATTTTCTGTCTGCTCTTTACCGCTATTTTATGCCTGCTCCTTACCACGATTCCCCCTTCTTACCAAATACTTCCTGCCATGTGTTTCCCCACGAATTATCTGCTTCCTCCTAACCACTAATTTTCTGGCTGCTCTTTACCACGATTTCCCCCTTCTTACCAAAAACTTCCTGCCTCCTGTTTCCCCACGAATTATCTGCCTCCTCTTAACCACCAATTGTTTGCTTTCTTTTAGTCACCAATTATTTGCCTTCTGGTTACCATAAATATCCTGCCTTCTATTTACCACAAATTTCCTGTCTATTCTTTACCACTTCTGGTTTCTATCTTCACCACACTAATGCACCTTTGTTCATCGTTGCAATTTTTGTCACTGTAACTAGATAGATGTCATCGACATAGCATGGTCACTTAAAATTATTTCAATGACGGGCTATCAGTGTGTGTCTACAGTCACCAAAGGTCTATTTTTGTAACTGTGATATTAATGATGTGATAAATAAAAGAGACAGCGATCAATTTCTCGAATAACAAGTTTACATTAATTTTATCATATCCGCGAATTTATAAGAAATCATATTATTTATGAACTTTTGACATTTATAAATCATCATGCTTTTACATCTACAATAACCAGTTAATGACCAATCACTTACACGACAATTTGTGTTCGTACCACCGAATCTAATACTTTTTAGATATGTCAAATAATATTGTCATATTAGGTTTATAATTTCGTCATGTTAGTAAGTTATTTAAATGTTTGAAATGTAATAATGTAAGTCTTGAATTCTTTTTGAACAACTTAGTATTTTAATGAACAAAGACACTCATTTATCGAAACCCTTGGTGCAAACTTATTTTTCAAAAACAAATATCAGCACGTTGATTTCATCTCCATCTTTTTCCTACAACGAGGCCAACAAGGACAGCTTTCCACCAAGCTGTATGATAAACATGATTATTTCAATTTCGCTATTGTGAATTTTCCATTTCTGGATAGCAGCCTCTCTGCATCTCCAACCTATGGTATTTACGCAGTTCGTTTTTGATATTTAAGGATTTGTTGCCAATATCACTTTTTTCTGCAGTATGTCCTCAAATGACAAACACATAGCTCATAATTTCAAAAGGTGCAGGTTGATGAAAATTATTGGAAAATTGTAAGGTCATTATATTGACCTCATTGAGAAATATTGTATTTCTTTGTGCGATTTGCAGGAGATCGGTCATGAATCTTCGTTAGTTTTCTCTTTGACTCTGTTGTTGTATACATTGTTCGCATTTGAGAACGTGACACTATTTCGTTGGATTGACCAAGATACATTGCTCGTGTCGTCGATGAAGCAGAAGTCGCTTACTCTTCAAGAACACCTGGTCTTATTCTGCTTGTACTTACTAAGGAGTCATTTCCGTTTAAATATTTCTTTTGTTCATATTTTGCCCCAGTTTTATTGAATAATAGTTTATGAATATTATGTCATGTTGATATTTCCTTATTGTGGAAATAGTACCTATTATTACCAGCAAATTAAAACCGTCCTTCTTTTAGTATATATACACAACACCAGCACAATATATCAAATTGTATATTTATATATATATTGTACTGGTGTTGTGTATATCTACTCAAGGAAGAACGGTTTTAACATCAGAACTTCGATAGAGTTTAATAAAAAAAATTACTGAAATATGTGTCTCAATGTTTCTTACACTCTGACACTTGGCCCAGGCATCAACACTTTGTAATGAATTACGTTCGTAATACGTCATCGATGTGAGGTTTGGTATCTAATTTGGTGCCATTGTTTGTTACTTTACCTGGGAGAGACCAAGTATTTACCCAGCAAGAATAACTCAATTTTTATTTATACAAGGTCACATCAAGAAGCGATTTTCATTCTACTATATTAAATGTAACCGGAGAAATATTGATCACGCCTGAAATTACACGCTCTTGTCAAATCAATCGATTTCGTTGGCTTCGAACTAGTTCTCACTAGTGATTTGATCCATTGTTGAGCGGGTGTTGGTAGCCACTATATGCATACACGAGCATTTCGCTGCAAAATAGACCCCATTGCTTGCTCGTATTAATACACACTGCATTAATCAAATCTCAATGAGCTCACTATTAATCAATGCAGCCGGAGATATATACCGGCAACACAACTTCTGATTGTTAAAAACAAGATCCTTTAGTCGAAGACGATCAGTTCGCCCAGTGGGCTTTAGCAGAGCTGCTCAAGCAATATTGCGTTACTATACAAGTAGAGATATCCGTTCAGTTCACATGCGAACGTACGCATGATTACAGTTCTACTGCAGTAATGGTAAAGGAAATCTATTCGACAATAAGGACATAGTAAGGAATTAAGTTTGGGTTTATGTCACCATTATACACTCATTGATATTCATAACCCTGTCAACCTTTCCGATATCGTGTACATACACTCATAAACCCACAGGATATGGTCAGTAGGTATTCAATCATGGAAATATTTATGTATTTTGGTCGCGAGTCTATATACCAAGATGAAGTATTCCGAACGATAGCATAAATATCAGATGTTCAATATCACATTATATGCATAGGTTATCTGTTGAGATAATGCTACCAACTTGCAGTCTGTTGAAGTTACAATATTAAACCAGGGATCAGACTCACACAAACCCACATCACTAATAATCAATAACCATATGTCTAATGTGTTGTAAACCAGGGACTCCCTGTACAGCCCAGCCAAACGCACGTTGTCACCTCTAAGTAGAGCGATGTCGTATTATGTAATCCCAATAATTGGCGACTTGTTAATACTGCCTACTGATTCATAATTAAAGAATGAGTGTAGTTAGATATCGAACAAAATCTTTTCTCCTGGAAGTAAATTTATTCAATTAAAATGCCAGCAAGGCCGAGACGCAGTTCTGATAAAATGTTTCTTTGTCTATATTTCTTTGAAATTTCTGTCAAAGGAAGAGGGACTTATTTACTTTTTGAAAACGCTGTATTCAATTTGTTCAAAATGCCAGAGAATGGAGCCTTTACAAATTCTGGTGCAAGAATCATATTGTTGTTAGGAAAAGGAACCATATTTTATTACGAAAGTCAGTTTTACTTATACAGTATTCTGTAAACTGTACATCTATCTAGGGCACGACTGATATATAGAGTTTGCCTTAATATTCTGATGCTTTCTTCAACGTGACAATATTTGTCGCATCTGTAACGAAGCTGGTTAAGTTAATTTAAATACGTTAGTTTTGGTAATGTATTGCTTGCATATACTAATTATTACAATTACATTTCCCCCTGTCAATGAATGTTATATAGGATTTAATTCTTGTTTTCGCATCAATATTGTAAAGATATTTAACTTTCCTTTTCTTAGTAGTAACATTTCTGTTTATCCTTCTTGTAGTTGATCATCTTAATTTCTATTGTCAGCATCAGAACGGTCTGTCTAGATTTCTTCTGTAATCAAGAAGCTATTAATAAATCTTTCTATCTATCAATTATGAAGAAAAGGATGACGGAACTTTATTTTCTGATATCATACCACATTTCAGTGAATACCGTTAACACACATATGGATTAAAACGCAGACAGTATGATAAAAGAAATAATTATTTACATAAATAAACTTCATTTATTTTATAATGATTGTAAAACATATTTTTCAATTTATATTTTAACATTTATCGCTTCTGGATGGAAACATGCGAAGGACATTACTGTGGGAGGAAACCGGAATACTTGGTGAAAACTCACGTGGTCGGGCAGGTGACCTTATACCTATTTGAGGACGTGTAGGTGCGAAAGCGAGTGGGTTACCACTGCGTCATCAGACACCCTATACTATTACCTATCTACGACACTGTTAATGTGTTATGGCATATGACACATGTTATGAAACAAAAAACAGGTGGAATTCTTCGTGACTAAAATTCTATTTATTCCTCTGTCAGAATCAGAAATATTATTCTGTTGTAACAAAAATGAAAAGTTAAATCCTCGGATCACATTAAAACGAAAGTCTTCCATAAGATGGTATATTACACGTCAGGGACAGACATTAATAGAGTTACAGTAAAAGAACGGTTTTTTTGTGTTTTGATAGTGCGTGGTGGTACATCGTTTCAACGACCACTAATGGGTTGTAAATGAATAGCATATTTCAATTAACTTCAGGCACATAAAATCCCCAGTTGTGCAATAACTACATCGAACAACGATGAATGTCAGTGATCATAGGGTCAAGAGGGTGGTGATCAAGTCAGTAAACACTTCAGCATCTAGGAGAAGAACTTCCTTACGTATTAATAATAATGGCGACTTAACCTAGAAAAATGATTGTATGTTATCATATCACTTGGATTAAAGATAATGGGGGTTAACCGAGAAAAAGGATGGTATGTTATCATATCACTTGGATTAAAGATAATGGGGGTTAACCGAGAAAAATGATGGTATGTTATCATATCACTTGGATTAAAGATAATGGGGGTTAACCGAGAAAAAGGATGGTATGTTATCATATCACTTGGATTAAAGATA